GTGTGTGTGTGTGTGTGTGTGTGTGTGTGTGTGTGTGTTTAGTTTATTTCGTTTCTAATTAAAATCGTGCTCGTTTTTCCATTTTCAAAACCTTGATGTAAAAAATGTAAAATCAAACTAAAGATTTTGGCTTCACTTCGTTAAATCCAAAGTAAAATGTGTGTTTGTTGTGTTAATATGTAGTGATAGCAGAAATGATGAAAGTCTTTGAAAAGGAGTTATAGTGGTTGGAAGAAGACTGCTTAAGAACAGAAACTATTCCAAAACATAGTGGCGATGGCTGCACTCGAAACTTATTCTGCATAACTTGAAATAATAAAGCAATAGTTCAAGATTGACTTAAATAAGGTTTTTGTTGGTTTCTAACGTACTCAGTGAAAACGTAATGCCTCAGAAGTTCAGGTCATGCTTCCCRGTTCTGCCAGAAACCAATGATGCGCTAACTAAGTACAAAGTATGTCTTTGCTTTAACTATTAAAACAAAACAAAAAAGTAGGCTTTTTCCAGTTTTGCTACTGTTGTTTCAGAAATTTAGTTTTAAAAACAAAAATAAAAAACACCTTTTTTTGTTGTTTTTCTTGTTTTATTTTGAAACCAAAACACCAAAGAACAAACCATATACCAATTAAACAACTCACAGAAACTTGGACTTTATGTCCTTTACATTTTTATAGTTTTAAAACACAAACAGGAGAAATACTGTAAAGAAATAAACATCAATTTAGTTTTTTTAATTAGTTTTTCCTTATTAAGGGTGTGAATTTAAGATCTTTATTGCTGTTCAGCTGGTATCTAATTTTTATCACAATATTTGATTCACTGCTCTTCTTGCACAGTTAAAAGAAATGACATGAGACTTGATCAGGAACACCAGTGAAGCAAAGCATCTTGTGAAACGGGTATAAAACACAGAGACTAAAAAGTTTTTGACAAAATAAGAAACCCCACCATTATCTAAACATATAAAGCACCTTTATGTTTTACAGCAACTACATCAGGTCACAGAAAGTTGGACTTTACATGAATGAAGTAATATTTTGATACATTTAATGTTCTCCCAACTTAGTTTTTGTCATTTTTGGATATTTTTATTGAATGTTCGATCTAAATGGAAATATCAAACAATGACTTCTGAGCTGTTTAAGCTTTCCACAATTTTTGCAAATGATATATTTTTTTCAAACAACAAACTTTAAACTTATTGCACATCAAAATCCAGGTATTTCTTTGTTCTTTATCTTCTACAAAGAGTCTCCATTTATTGTGTCTGAGCCCTGATTTTTTTTTCCTTTTCTTATTGACACAAAATTTATTCTGCATGACAGTGTGCCCCACAGGTCTAGAATTGCAACAAACTCATTTATTTATCTGTCAACTTCTTAAAAAGTTGATAAATCATACATTTTGGCATTTTGACGGTTTAGATCGTTGCAAAAGTAAATTCTTATTATGGGCTTTAGAGTCGAGGTTGATGAATAACTTTCTGAAGAAATTTGAAAGCCTGCTGGAAGCAGGAGCTGTATCGGCATGATGCTTTCTTCAGAAATCTTCTATTTATTAAGATCAAATTGATGTTGTGCTGCAATTCAGGTGATGACGAAAGGTTTCTTCTGCCGTCTTTCATTTCGGGTTTATGATTATGGGGTGTGAGAGAGACGAGAGAAACCTTGGGCGACAGCTGAACACAAGGCACCTTGCATCCCTTTAATTACACCTAATAGGCAGTAATTACCAAGAATCACTCAAGAAACTGTTAACACCAACAGCAGCAGAGGAAGCAGTGTTCCCTGACAGGTTTCTGGTTGTCAGGAGAGATTTTGGACATGAAGCACCCCCACTTCCCCCAGGGGCACTCAGTTCCAGCTGGGTTGTTAAACATACCAAGTGGAAGGGTTGCTCAAGGCTACAGTAATGAGTTATTTCATCATGTCTTCAACACAGATGTTTAAAACTGGGATACAAAAGGAATTAGAAATATTTCTCTTTAATTGTGGAGATAGTTCTGAATTTGTCAACTCAATAYTGCTCTGGTGAAGACACCATGGCAGAATTAGTGCGCAAACATTTTCCAAAGATTTCAAATCAGTAAGAAAAACCAGAGGACAGATAGAGTACATAAAGTGAAAGGTTTTCTGGGAATGTTATTCAGCTGTACTTTCCCAGCCGGGTCCACTGGACCGACTGAATGAACCAACATTACACTGAAAACACTGCAGCTGAATGACTTCCTGTCCAAATAAAATCTGATTAGAGTGTATAGATCTTGGGAGCGGAGGACAGTAGCATGTTCGGTGTCCTACCGTCGTGTATTTCCGTCACTCGGTGCTTTCGCCTGTTCTCTCCGCTCGCTGGGGCTCCGCAGCGGTAGTCTTCGCTTCGACAACCACGAGAGGAAAAACCCCGGGTTAGGCTGAAATATCCGCAGGCAAGCGTTGCTAAAAACAAACAACACAACCCGAGGAGGCAGCAGCTTCTCACCGGAGCGTGACCTGCAAGAATGACAAACAGCCCCGACTGAGTCCGAGGGCTCTGCCTCCCTCTCCCCCACCAACCCGAGGCGGGAGGGAGGCGGTGGGCTGGGACAGCCCCGAGCAGCGCTGAAAGGACGGTCACAGCGTCTGCTTTAACCCGCTCACTGCCACGAAACACGGCGAGAAAGACCAGGATCACACAAACGCTCTGAAAACAGCAGCCTGAGGCAGCACAGACTGGAGTCCTGACAAGATTTATGTTTTATAAAAGCTATTGGTTTTAATTATATCATTTAACTGCAGCCAACTTCCTTCATTCCCACACAACAAGCCAACTCTGGGTAGTTTTAACTTAGGATTGTTGTGTTATCAATTTAACCCAACACACTAGGTTAAGGTTTATAACCTAAAATTTGGTTAAACAGTAACTAAAATGTTGAGTTATAATGAACAACCCCAGAATCTAGTTTGTTAGAGAAAAGCTCATTTGTAGTTTTCTGTGCACATGGAACTAGAGGTTTGAGGTTATTCGATATAAACAAACCTGCATCGATATTAGATTTGATGGATGTGATTGTGTTTTTAACTGTTTATTGGTTCAGTTACTGATGTTTTTTGATGGCAGAGATAAAATACTGGACAAAGTGAAATGTTGGAGCACAGAAGAACTTTGTATAAGCAAGGGGTTTATGACATAAAGTAATAAATTTGTCACAAAAAGACCACCAATTACAACAGATTGTGTGCAGGAAAGTGTCCTAATGCTGCATTCACACCAAACGCACTTTAAGCCAAAGTTGTAAAGTAACTAAGTACAAATACTTTGTTACTGTACTTAAGTAGAAATTTTAGTTATCTGTACTTTACTTGAGTAATTATTTTTCAGCATACTTTTTACTTTTACTCATTACATTTTTACACAATTATCTGTACTTTGTACTCACTACATTTTTTTAAAAGGGTAAGAAGTAGAAATTCGTTACTCAGTTATTACTCAAAAAATACTATCCTGATAAATTGTGTCTCCTAGAGTGAATTTAATTGTGGTTGGATGAGAAGTATAAATATATACCATTCTGACACACTATTAGCTCGTACACAAGCCATCACAGCTGCATATCGTTAGAAAAAGTATTTTTTGGAGAAGTCACCTCCCAATAAATGTCATTTTGGAAAATCTAACTGTTCACTTTTACTCAGTACTTTTACTTTTAATACTTAAGTAGATTTTGTGTCAGAAATTTACCTTTGATACCTAAGAATAAAAAATATCAGATACTTTAAGACTTTTACTCAAGTAATATTTTTAGAGAAGACTTTAACTTTTACCTAAGTATTTTTATGATAAGATACTTGTACTTTTACTCAAGTATCACTTTGAGGTACTTTATACAACACTGCTTTAAGCATCAGGGGTGTCTGGTTTACATGCTAACTCTGTGGTGGACGGGTATCAAGGAGAGTCTACAGCACAWTTTGAGTGTTTAATGCGCATAACGCTGGAGTTGGAAAATCTGAACTTTTGCAGCAGAACGTCAACCAATCAGAGACTACACTGTGTGACCTAGTGACACATTTTCCAACGGGACGGTTTCCTGATGTCCACTAACCTGAGACAGATGGACAGGAGCTCTTTAGCTGAAATCAGGTGCCTGTAGTCGGCGTCCTGGCAGGAGATATCAGCACCGATGCGGGTCAGCGGCTCATCAAACCGAGCTCAGGACAAAAATAGTTCTGATAGCGAGCCTCGTCAGCTCGCAGCTCCTGGAGTGGTGAAACTCACCAAACTCAGAACTCCTCTGAATTRTCTGGTGAATTAATTATGAATTAATTATCTGACGAGCGCGACATGCTCTTGCTCTCAGTAAATAAAGCAAAGCCACTTCCTTTATTTCATCCGCCATTAAACAGAAACGGGCAGACATGCTTCAAGATCAAGTTTGACGAGCGTCTGACCTCAAAATGCACAAACGTCCAACTTGAAGCATTGGATGCGTTTTTGAAGCCCAAATCGTGTTTGGTGTAAAGGCACCATTACACAAGGCGCACTCCCTCCTGGTCATCACAGCCACAAGCGTGCATAAATCTGTCCATTTTTTTCAGTTTTATTTACTATCAACGTAAGTTTTCTTTAACTTTATCATTTTTACTGCAACAGTTGTAATCTTAGCTGTATTTTCACATATGCTGCGTTCACACCAAACGCAATTTCAGCTTCAAAATCGCAGCCAACCCTGAAGTTGGTCGCTCGTGCACTTTGAGGTCAGACGCAGGACAGCTCTTGAAGCGCTGCACGGCAACAGCCTCCCCGCCCCTCCCTCCTCTGTCGGGCTCTGTTTAATGTCGGACGAGGAAGTGGCTTTGCTTTATTTACAGAGAGCAAGAGCATGTCACGTTCATCAGATAATTAATTCATAATTAATTCACCAGATAATTCAGAGTAGAGGCTCACAGCTCGCTTTCAGGACTATTTTTCCAGTCTGATGAGTCGCTGCCACGCATTGGTGCAGATATCTCCTGTCAGGACACCGACTGCAGGCACTCGATTTCAGCTAAAGAGCTCCTCTCCATCTGTTTCAGGTTAGTGGACATCATTCAGTAAACTGTCCCGTCGGGAAATATGTCGCTACGTCACACAGTGGAGGCTCTCTGATTGGTTGATGCGGCGCGTCGAGCTGCAAAAGTTCAGATTTTCTAACTTCAGCGATTTGCGCCTCAGCGCGTCGAACGCTCAGATCGTTCAAATCGTTCAAATCACGCTGCTCTAATCGCGCTTGAGGCACCGCAGCACTTCCCGACGTTGCTTGAAGCGCGTCCACCATAGACTTTGTATGTAAACCTGATGCTCCTGATGCTGAAATTGCGTTCGGTGTGAACGCACCAATAGTCTTCGCCAAAGATCAGCGACAGCAGACACTTAACAAGAACAAAAATGCCCACAAAGTTCTGACCAATCCCACAGTGGTTTGGTGTATCGTGCTATGAGAAAGGGTCTCAGCAGATGATCAGAGTAGCAAACTATGAAATTTTCATCACAGACCCATGTAAGCAAGACACAAAATGGCTTCTCTCATTTACATCAGGCTTAAGTCCAGCTTGCAATTTCATTCTAGTTTATCATCATGTCTAAAATGACTGTCACTTGTCATTCTGTTAGCTATGACTTCTTTTATAGTACAAGACTGGGATATTAGATAAACAAGAGTTAAATATAGTCAAGTTGAAAAAAAAAACAAGTAGGCTTTCATTAAGTTCACTTGCAGAGACACTAAACAGCCTTTAATTATCTGACGTTCTACCACATAAATCCTTAATAGAACCACACCCAATCCTGACACATCAGTTCACTTAAATTATAGATTACTGTTCAGATATGTTGGCTGCTCTTCTCGTTAATAACTACTTTAAAGTGTGCTCTGTTCCTCTTTCTTTTCCACCCAAGCCTACAAAAACTTCAGGTCAAGGTGGTTACATTAACATACGTGTCAAAACACACAATATGCATAAAGTTTTATGTTCAATTCAATTCAAAAATGCTTTATTGACCCCAAAGGTAAATTAGATTGTTGATGTTGGAAGTTGTTCAGAAACTGAAGCAAAACTAGAGAAACAACTTTTCTAAAAAAAAAAAAAAGTAGCTTTAATGTTGATTGCTGAAAAACTTCACTGAAATTAAGCTGTAAAAGCTAAAAGAAGCACAATAACTAAAATCTTAAAGAAGAAAAACACTGGATAAAAGCCAAAGGCAACAAAATGCTAGCTAAAATCTAAAAGTAGCCAAATGTTAGCTTGAAGCTAAATGAAACATTTGCTAAAAGTAGGAAAATGTTAGCTTAAAGAAGTAAACTGATAACTAAAAGCAACAAAAGTAACTAAAATCAAGGAGAAAATGTTAGCTAAAAGTATCAAAAGGCTAGGTGAAAAATATCAAAGTACTAGTTGAAAGTATTTAAAAAAGTAGCCAAAGGCTAGCTGCAAGCTAAAAATAGCAAATAGCTGAATGTGCAACCCATTCTCACTCCCAAGTCGTCACATATTGACGCTTTGGCAAGGTTCCCTCTACGTCCGATTTTGACGCGCCGGGTACCCCCGTCACGTCAGTTACTGACGAGATGGGGCGAAATCTGTTGTCATATTTTCAGAAAGAGTAGAAAATGCGCAAAAACTACCGTTTCGAAGCCTGAAATTACCTTTGTTCACTTTAGACATCCTGTCCCTGACCCTATACCTAAAATTAACCATTTTTAGAAAATGTAGGAAATTCACGTAAACATGTTCCAAAGCCTGAAATTACCTAATATTCACCATGGACATCCTACCCCTGATCCCAGTACCTAAACTTAACCATTAATCCTGATCCCTCATGTTAACCTCAGACCCTYGACCCAAAGACCCCTGGTGGCGCAACCCGGAAAAGCCGCGGGCGTCAAGGACTGACGCGAGGGAGGCACCTGATGCGTCAAAATAAGACGCAGAGGGAACCTTACCTTAAGCGTCAATATGTGACGACTTGGGAGTGAGAATGTGTAGGAATGTGACAAAACACTAGCTAGAAGATAAAAATGAAAGCATGCTGAAGCAGATTATAAACAGTGCTTTTGAAGGAATAAAAGAAGTCTATTTCTATTGGAAAACATTTATAAAACAATTTAATTTGTTAAAAAGTATAAAAGTTACAAAACTCAAAATGTTTTTGCGCTGATCTCCTGAATAAACTTAACGTTTTGATACACGTATGAACAGGTAAGAAGTTTGCAGAAATAGATAGAGAAAAAAACAGTGCAAATGCAGAATCAGCATTATGTCATGTCAGTCTTTAAGCTTCATTAGAGCTCTGATTAAAAACAAAGTTTTGTCTTAACAAGCTGGGGCTTAAAAAGGCATTTTCTTAAAAAAAATACTGGTTCTTCCCAGCAGGGTAGGTTATTTTTCTACGAGGATGTTGGGAAGGTACAGCTTCATATCTGGCTTTAATTTAAGCTGTCCACTACGATTAGGACACAGTTCATGTAGCAAGT